TAAAGTTAGACTTGTGTTCATGGAAATGTGTGTGTCACCTGTGTTTGCTATGAGGGTATTTGGATTGATTAGGGTCTTTGGTGATTCAATAAAATGTGGGGGAAAATGGTATAGAAAGCAAACATAGATACCAGAGATAGTGTGGGAGGAGAGTGGGAGGTGGCAGAGGGTAAGAGACAGGGAATCAAGGATGGGGGGAAAAAAGCAAAACATACAGAAAACAAGAAATGGAAGATCATTTGCTGACAATAACATGTTTGTTGGTGTGCTTGATTGAGACAATATACAGTGTACTCCGGATGGAAAATCTCATTTTGTATGCTGTAATGATGTACAGTGAATGAATGCAAATAAATAAATTGAAATTAAAAAAAAAATTAATAATGTGGTAAAATTCTAAGTAGAAAAAAGCAGGAAAAAAATTTTCAAATTTCATTTCCCACAAAGATAAAGTTAGCCAAAGAGGGACAAATGAAGAAACAGATACAAAAAATATGTCAAAATCAGAATAGTGCTTATCTCCAGGAAATGGGTAGAAGTAACAATATTTCACAATGGAAATATATTTATAATCATAAAAAAGTATTTAAAATAAATGAAAGTGCAATGATTTTGATTCAGTAAAGGTTTTGATATTGTTCTAAACCTTTTTACCAGAAAGTAAATCATTACAGCCTTTCATAGGATTCTGGTTATGCTTCACAAAAATAGATAAAAAGACTTCACCAGCGTGGATCTGAAAGAAATCAGGTGAACACTCAAACTTTGATAAACTATAATACTGAGTCATGGGAAAAGCCACAATCCATTTTTGCATAGAAAAATATGTCATGACTTTTCCAATGACCCAATAGATAGTAGTCCTGATGTTTAGCTTGTGTAAGAAGTTGGAAGTTTGGTTAGAAATGCAGATTTCTGTGTCCACCCTCACCCCACAAAATTCTGATCCATTGAATGTGGTGTGGGACTGGAAAATCTTCAACTGTAACAAATTCCTAAAGTGATTACTAAGCTTATTGTACTTAGAAAACATTGAATTAAAACATGTCCACTTGGGACCAGCAGGTGGTATAGTGGTTACAACACTGGACTCCATCATGGCTGGCCACAGTTCAAGTCCTCCATCCAGTGGCTTCAAAATCACGCCAAGCACATGTGCATGCATGCCCAAGATCCTGGGAGAAGAATGGAGAAAGGATTGTGGCGTGGCCATCCACCCAGGGGGATAATTTCTCACCTTCAATCTCCCTGTCTTGTTCTGTCTCTCTGTTGAGCACAAATGCCCTATAGCAAAAATCTCTATCTTTAAAAAAAAAAAGAATAAGTCCACTATTTGAGATTAAATGATAATCCTTCTCTCAGGCCATCATACCATTAAATGCTTCTTCACCGGTGGTACAAGCAACTGGTAATATACAAAAATTTGATAATTTTATAGGGTTTTTTGAGAAGTATTTTATCTCAGAAACTAAATCCTCACCTGGGTATTTTATAAAAAATACCAAAAATTTTTTAAAAAACTGAATTGGTAATACTTCAAAAAATGCCACAGAAAACCAGGTGGAACAGAATTTGGGAATCAAAAAACAACAGTGTTCACTGCTATGTGAAATAAAAATCTGACTGCCCATTCACGGTGGTAACTGATCTGAGAATAAAAATTAACCTAATAAAGATAATGCACTAAATTTACTTCCTCTTTTCATAAGGATAGAGGAGGAATCTCTAGGTATTAATACATCATTGCCCTTTCATATTTTTCTCTCCCATTTATTTAAAAGGGAGGGGGGAATAGCCAGTAGCATATTAGACTTCTTCCTATATGCAATCTTCAAACTAAAGTCTCAGTGTGACACATGCAAATCAGCATTCTTTCTATTTATCCAGTTTCTTTTCTTTCATAAAATTTGCAGCAAGAGAAAGCTGGGATCCCTAAAGGGAGGATAGCCATACTACAAACCTTTCTTTAAAATGTTAATCATGTTTTGAACTGGCCCTGCAGCACATCAGTTGCACAGAGGAAGTTGAATCCCACATGGCCAAATGGGATTGAAGTGCTGACCCCTCAGGCTTGAAAAACACAGTTGGACCTGCACATCAAGTGACCTAACAGGATGCAAAATTTGAGGAAAAAAAGGACGGCAGCATGATCAGGCCCTGTAGTGTGTGTTGAGGAGTGCCTTCTTTCTCTTTCTCTTGTTCATACATGCATCCTCTAGCATAAAAAATTACATTTTATTTCATTGGTAAAGTAGGAAAATGTTTTACTCCAAACTTCAAAGTGTTTATTATTTAAATATAAAACTTCAGTCTTTCCAGAGGGTACTGCAACTCAATGACAATTCTGGAATTAACTTTAGGGCAGGTCGTAAGTTACAGTTCCAAATGTTCGCCAAGGTTTTGGGCGTGCATACTTGCCCCTTGGTGTTTCAGGCCCACTGATGAGATTCAAACCGTAACCAGCATGTGGCTTTGCAGGCCAGTGTGGTACCAATTGCAATACCAAGGCTGGGCTGATAGTCCAGATTTAAAGGCAGAATGCTACCCAGTTGTGGTGGCACAGTCAGTAGGGTGCTACTGTGCAGCCTGGAGCCACACAGGAGGCCCAAGATCAGATCCCAGCTCAGAGAGAACACATCAGGTGCAAAGATCCTGTCTGGGAGGCTGGGAGAGGATCAAAGCACAGCACACACCCCCCCGTCAAGGACTAGCATGTCTGTGTATCTCTGATGAAAATAACAAAACTTAAAACAGATCGCGTTTTTTACGCCTAATCTTTCTAGGATCATAATAGAAATATTAGCAATAGTCTATTAATAGGTTGACCATTGTTGTGTAACCTCAAAGTTACTTCAAATTTTTTTTTTTTTTTCTGGAGCGCACATGCACTCACCAGAGAAAGAGAGAGACGGGGCGGGGGGGGAGTGGTGGTGAAAAAGAACTCCCCCATGGGGGATAGTCACATCACAATCCCTTCTCCTCCATTGCTATCAGGTTTTGGGGTCCTCATGTACAAGTACCCACTGTTTTTTCAATCCTCCAGATCCAGGTCTATGCTTAAACCTCACAGTCAGCCATGTGGGATCCAGCCACCATCACCACCGTGGCGCAGGCTAGCCCACTCTTCTCTTTATAATGACTAGCAAGAATAGTATGACTCATACCTCCTAAAACATATGAGAAAAAGATACTATTTGTTAGACTACTTGTCCGTAAGTCTAACAATTACTGAGTATCTACTGTGAGCTAGAGATTATGCCACACCTTAAGAATTTATTATCCCTGCTATCCAGAAATATCTCCAAAATTAGAGAAATTCAAATAAAAGGAGCAAATACAACATGGGCTATACTGCCCAACACTTTATTAACTGGGAAACTAGTTAGGCAAAGTTGCATTTCAGATATTCCAAATGTCTGATGGCTTATAATCGAAAGGAAAAAAAAAAGTAGTTATACTATCTAACTTCTTAAAAGGTTATCAGAGGATTGTTCATATTTATAAGTAGGTAAGATTTTTCTGAGAGGAAAAGTCAAATCCATCCAGAGTAATTTAACATCTAAACCAGTTGAATTTAAGAGGAGGCCCAGCCATGGTGGCATGCTCTGGACAATATTGCTTGGCAGTCTAAAGCGCACGAAAGACCCCAGTTCAATCTAAAAAGCATGAAGCAGTGGCACACACCTGTCGTCCTAACTACTTGGGAGGCCAAGGAAGATCTTAAGCTCAAAGTCAGAGTGGGCGAAACAGTGAAGCCCTGTCTAAAGCACCACATGCGCACATAAGCATATACACCCGAACACACACCAGAAAAAGAAAACAAACAAAAAATCAGAAGCAAATGAGCTGAATGTCCAATGAACAATGACAGGCTTAATCAATTTATAGACTGGTTTCAATCATCTCAGGATAAGCAGTTTCTCCTCTATCAATTCAATAAATACACACATCACTTTTTCCATTTTTACTTGGGATTCTTTTTCCTTAGATTTTTGTCATAGGGCTTGTGTACTTGCCAAAGAGAGACAGAGAAAGAGGCGAAATGAGAAATCACTCCCAGGGAGAGTGGCCACACCCCAATCCCTTCTCCTCCATCCTCCTCTCAGGATTTTGGGCATGCATGCACATGCACCCTGTGGGGTCCAGGACTCAAACAATGCAGCTGGCCATATGGGATCCAGTGCCTTAACCATCATACAACCTGCTGGCCCAATATAACCTATTTTTAACAAAAAGAACTCTAATCCTATCTGGACTGTGCTAACAGAAAAAGGAATCCATCTATATTAAAGTCAACCTAGCATTAGAGCACCCTTAAGAATCCAGGCAGTGATGGGTCATGGTTGGGAAAACCAAGGCGGAACCAGCGGAACTGTGGAAAGCAAGAGGTTACAACAATTGCATGGGGAGACTTAGAAACAATACTAATTTTTATCTTATAGAGCAAAGATAAATTTTCAGACCACTGGTTCATTTCTCCTCACCTTTAACACAAAGAAAACACTATGCCTGCCTGTAAACAGTAGCAGATAACTCAGGAAATCTGAGTAGGGGTCCATTTTTTCCTTTCTACAACAGCAACTACAGGAGGAAAAAGCACAAATTAGAATCTAGAATCTGGGCAAATTTCTATTATAGGCTGAGGAAAAGAAACTCCCACAATGTCGAACTACCATGGCAGTGGTCAGTGATCCTTAGACCCAAGACAACAAAGACACTGACTCCTCTTTCTCACAACCTTGTGCGGTAAATTGTAAACCCAAGGTATCAGCAAGACATCCCAAAAAGTAGTAAACAAAACAAGTAGATTTTTTTATCTACTTTCCAAATACTTTTATAAATATCTCTCTTACGATAAAAACATGAAGGGCCAGCCCTGGGTAAGGGAGCTGGATCCCACATGGCCTTCTACATGGTGTGACTTACAGCCCCAGTGACTCAAAAAAATATGCCAGGTGCATATATGCCCAGAATCCAGACAGGATAAAGAAAATGAGAAGGGATCACCCACTGAGGGGTGATTTCGTCCTCTTCATCTCTCTGTCGAGCACACATGCTCTCTGGGGAAATTTTTTTTTTTTTAAGAGGTTTTCGCTATAGGGCGCGTGCTCGCCAGACAGAGAGACAGAGAGAGACAGAGAGACAGAAAGCGAGAAATCACCCCCCAGGGGGGATGGTCACACCGCAATCCCTTCTCCTTCATTCTCCTCTCGGGATCTTGGGCACGCACGCACACACGCCCGGCGTGAGTTCTAAGCGACCGGGTCCGGGACGTGAACAGCGGTCGACTATGTGGGAATCCAGCGACATAGCCATTACGCTAACTGCTGGTTCCCATCTCTGGGGAAATTTTTAAAAAGAAAATAAAAGAGAAAAACATTTTATAATGGGGCTAATCACTCATATTTTAATTTAGTTAATCATTCCCATATTTCAGTCATCCAAGTACCACTTTTAGAATTCACATTTGCAATTCACTTGTACTATTATTCACCTATTATTGGTCTTTTAACTGACTTACTTTCTTCCCTGTATTTTTTTACAACAGTATCTGTGAAATCAGTTCTGCGGTATTAGGCTTTTCTCCTAACTTAAATGACCTTTATTTTTTGCATTTAAATATGTGTATGTGCACGTGTGTGAAAATTTTCACAAGAAGTTTTTAAATGTTCATCTGCTTCTCAAAATGTCTTGCATGGGGACAAGCAGTTAGCATAATAGCTATGTTGCTGGACTCCCATGAAGTCGACTGCAGTTCAAGTCCCAGACCCGGTGGCTTAAACTCACATTGGGCACATGTGCGTGCGTGCCCAAGATCCCAAGAGAAGAATGGAGAAGAAGGGATTGTGGCATGGCCATCCCCCCTGGGGGGTGATTTCTCTCTCTTTCTGGCAAGTGAACGTACCCTATAACAAAACAAACAAACAAAAAAAACTCTCAAAAAAAAAAAAAATGTCTTGCATGAGCCCAGCTGCAGTGGCACACAGAAAGCACCACTGCTCAGACAGCTGGAAGTCAGTTACCAGGTCAATCTGAACATATCTGGCACAGCTACACACACCTGTATTCAAATGCTGGCTCCAGCATGTACCAGGAGCATGGTGGCACCCACCCTATGGCAAAATCCAATGGAGGCTGGAGGACTGCAGCATGTACCAACCATGTAATCTGGAGCAAGCTTTACCTTTCTATTCCTTAATTTCCTGACCTAGAAACTGTGGCTACTCATAGTTATCTATCTTGTAGTACCTGAAATAGTCTTGTAATATTCTTTTTTTTAGGTTGCTAGAGTGTGTGCATGAGACAGAGAGGATAAAGTGAGAAGGCATCCCTCAGAGGGAATGGCCATGCTGCAATCTCTTCACCTTCATCCTCCTCTTGGGATTTTGAGGGCACACAAACATGCACTCAAGTGTTTTTAAAGCCACTGGGTACAAAACTCGAACTGTGCAGTCAGCCATGTGGGAACCAGTCACCTTAACCTCCACGCCATCTGCTGGCCCCTGCCTTGTAATAGTCTAAAAATATACATTAAGTATTTGCTATTCTTGTCTATCCTCTATGTACTAAACACTTTCTACACATTAGCTCATTTATGCTTTCCTGAGAGGTAGGTAGGTTTTTTTAGTTCTGTTTTAGCTTTGAGGAAATTCAAGTCCTGAAAGTTTAAGTACTGTCATCGGACGCTTGGGCTTGCTGGAGAAAGACAGCGAGAGGTAAAGTGAAAAATCATCCCTCAAGGAGGATGGCCATGTTGGAATTCCTTCTCCTCCATTCTTCTCTTAGGATTCTGGGTGCGCTCCTGTGCCTGGAGTGATTTTCAAGCCACCATACGCATTCCAACCACAGTCCCTCTGTAGGAATCCAGTGCCTTTATCACCTCACCACCTGCTGGCCCCAGGCTGACATTTTAGCCCTGGGATGGGCTTTGTCTTAAGTGAACAGGCACTGAAAGGTGGTTCTCAGGCTCTCCACCTACCCCAGATGGATCTTCTAGTAAACTAAGCAGCAAGAGAAATGCCCAAAGCTATTTTCACCTGCAGAGAGGTTCGGATTGCTTTGGAGATTTTCTCCACCTGTAGAGTCAATCGCTCAGGTCTTCCTTCTGCTCCAGCGATCCCAGAGTGCCATGAACAGGACCTTTAAAAGGTTTCTATGGGTCAATGGAGCAAATCTCTGGCCTCAAAGCTCATTCAATCCCCACAAAACACAAAGTAAGTCAGTGGTTCAAATCCCACCCTGCCTAAAAGAAATAGAAAATGTCACGTCAAGCTCTTGTGACCACTTAAGCAACCTGGGTGGATCACTGTGTTTCTTACATCTGGGCATCAGGGAATACCTCCCTATACACACACACACACACACACACAAGGGAATACCTCCATACACATACATATACAGTACACACCAGGTAATACCTCCCTACACACACACATCAGGGAATCCTATACATACATATACACACACACCAGGGAATACCTCCCTACACACACACACACCAGGGAATACCTCTCTACACATACATATACACACACACCAGGGAATACCTCCCTACACACACACACATCAGGGGATACCTCCATACACATACATATACACACACACCAGGTAATACCTCCCTACACACACACATCAGGGAATACCTCCCTATACATACATATACACACACACCAGGTAATACCTCCCTATACACACACACACACACACACACAAGGGAATACCTCTCTACACATAACACACACAAGGGAATACCCCCCTACCCAAACATATACACACACACATATACACACACACCAGGGAATGCCTCCCTATACACACACACACCAGGGAATGCCTCCCTATACACACACACACACCAGGGAATGCCTCCATACACATACATATACACACACACCAGGTAATACCTCCCTATACACACACACATCAGGGAATACCTCCCTACACACATGCATCAGGGAATACCTCCCTATATACACACACACCAGGGAATACCTCCTACACACACGCATCAGGGAATACCTCCCTACACACACACACCAGGGAATGCCTCCCTATATACACACACACCAGGAAATACCTCCATACACATACATATACACACACACAAGGGAATACCTCCACACACATATACATACACACACACCAGGTAATACCTCCTTACACACACACATCAGGGAATACCTACCTACACATACATATACACACACACCAGGTAATACCTCCCTACACACACACACACACATCAGGGAATACCTCCCTACACATACATATACACACACACACCAGGTAATACCTCCCTACGCACACACACCAGGGAATACCTACATATACACACACACCAGGTAATACCTCCCTACACACACACACACACATCAGGGAATACCTCCCTACACATACATATACACACACACACCAGGTAATACCTCCCTACGCACACACACCAGGGAATACCTCCCTACGCACACACACCAGGTAATACCTCCCTACACACACGCACGCACGCACCAGGGAATACACAGACACACACCAGCTGGTAGCTCATCAGTGACTGTTTCTCCCCTTCGAACCCCTCGTCCGGGGGCTGGCCAGCCAGGCCCCCCCGCCGCTCGCGCGGCTCCACAGACCCCTTAGGCAGCAGGGGACCGAGTCCCCGCAGGCCCGCCCCTTCACGGCCGCAACGACACCCGGCTTCCACCCGCACGGCACAGGCTTGGTCCTGCCAGGGGTAGGTCTGTGGTCCCGAAAGCGAGGACCTGAGCCGTGGCGAGAGGCGGGAGAGCGAGGACAGCTGCCAGCCAAGGGTTCGAGGGACCCTGAGAATGGAGGAAAGAGGACTGGGAGGGGCCGGGCCGGGGGAGCCCCGCCCCGCCGCTCCGAGTGACGCGCCCCGCAGTGCATTGTGGGACCAGGGAGTGGCCTTTCCGTGGGGCTGCCCCGCCCCGCCCCGCCCTCGCCCCGCCCCCTGCAGAGTGCTCTCCAGCTTCTCAAGCTCCTGCGCTAGTAGATTGCGTGGTCCTCGGTGACCCGGGAGTCCCTCTGAAATAAAAGCTAATCTCCCTCCCCTGCCGCCCTGTGTCTGGGTGCAGTTTGTCTCTTGCATGAGGCCCTACAGCCAACCCTTGGCCCAGGGGCAGTGGAAAAAGCACTATCTGGGTGAGCAGGGAAAGGACCTTCCCACTTCTACCACCATGCACAAGAAGGAAACAAGTCAGGGTAGGCAAGTTTCAGGTACTGGCCTTATGGCCCCTTCCAGCCTTCTCGGGGTCGCGCATTATCAAACAGGCATTTACCGAATGCCTGCCATGCCACACGCCCCCTGTTAGGCATTGGAGCACAGGAGTGAACATAACACTCGATGGAATTTAAGGTGTAATAGGAGCAAGAGACATTAAATAATTATACATTGTGATCAGTACTGTGAAGGAAAATTAGTGGGTGAAATGATGGATTAATTTTGGACTGTCAGGGAAGAGCCTTCTGAATAAGTGCCTTTCAAGCTCCAGGCATACTAAAGTGCCTTAAAGAATGTGGCAGGCCAAGGGAACATAATGAGAGAACTTGTGGGGGCATGAAAGAACTTGATGTGCTCTAAGAACTGAACAGAAGTCAGTGTGCCTGGAGTGCAGGGAGCAGAGAAGTTTGGGCCAAAAGGAGGCAAGGGCTGGACCATGCTGGCTCTTCTGGGCCACATTATAGATTTCAGACTATATTTTGGAATGTATCCCAAGGTCAATAAGCAGCTAATAAAGGCTGTTAAATGGGATCTGATTTGCATATTTAAAAGCACACTCTGGTTGCTTGTGGGGAATAGAATGGAAAAGGGCAAATAGGGTTGCTGGCAGTCCAATTTGGAGTCAGTCGCATTAGTTAAAGCCAGAAATGATGGTGGCTTGAACGAGGGTAATAGCAGCAGGGACAGAAAGAGGCAGATAATTTCCAGATATGTGTAAATCAGAGGTAGACTCTAAGGGACTTAATAATGGATGGGTGTTAATAATGGATTGGTTTGTGAGAAGGGTCATGAAAAAAGGAGTATTAAGGAAGACTCCTTAAGTAACTAGATGAATTTAGAAGCCATTTACTGATGCAGGAAACATGGAAGAGTAAATGGTTTGGAATACGTTAAATCTGAGATGCTTATAAGTAGGAATGTCAAGCAGACATGGACACATAAGTCAAGAGTTCAGAAGAAAAATCAAATATCTGGACTAATGATATAAGTTTGGTGGTTTCGGAGTGAATTAAATTTACTCCTAGATACCTATTCAACATAAATGTATTTGCATGTTCACCAAAAGACATATGTATAATAATATTCATTGGGTGAATAAATTTTAGAATATTCACACAGTAGACTACCATACGAGAAAGGGAATGAACACTCTCCAGCCACACACCAAGTATGGATGAATCTCATGATCACAAAATTGAATTAAATACGCCAGAAGCCAAAAAAATGTTTACTGTATATTCCACTTATAAAATTTTTTAAAACAGTTAGCGTAATGGCTATGTCGCTGGACTCCATGTAGTCCACCATGGTTCGAGTCCCGGACCTGGTGGCTTAAACTCACACTGAGCACGTGTGCGTGCGTGCCCAAGATCTCGAGAGGAGAATGGAGAAGGGATCGCAACATGGCCATAACTCTTGGGGGGAGATTTCTCACTTTCTGTCTCTCTGTCTCTCTCTGTCTGTCTGGTGAGCACACGTGCCCTATAGCAAAAACCTCTCTTAAATTTTTTTTTTAAAACAAAAATAATATGTAGTTATAGAAATCAGGATGTTGGTTTTCCATAGGTATTATAGACATTCTATTATTTACAGTGGCTCAACTTATCATTTTTAAACATTACAATGGTATGAAGAGATACACTTTTAGTAGAAACTGTACCCCCTAGTAAGTCAAAGAGCTTATAATTTATGCTACTTTCAACTTTGATGTATTTTTTTTACTTATGATATTTTGGACATAAAATAGGTTTATAAGGATGTAACCTCATTGTAAACCAAGGAGCATCTGCATTAATATCTGGAACAGAGCACTAGGGGATTTTTGGAGTTCTAAAATGTTCTTCTTGATCTGGGTTTTGGTTATGTGGTGTGTTCAATTAATGAAAATTCATCAAGTTATACACCATGATGTATACCATTTTTCGTGTGTCTTTTATTATTCCATAGAAGTTTATATTTTTAAAATGTTAAGGGTGACCCAGCCATGAATAAGTAACTGGTACCAGACTAAGCCTCCCACCACAAGCAATAGAAAATTGATTAAAGCTATAAAACAAGCGTTTTTCAAGCATTGGACAAATAAGCATAGTAAGATTGTGATCCTGGAAAGAAAAAATAATGAGCCAGGAATTGTCCCAGATTTCTTGGGATGTATGTATCAAGTGATGGAAAGAAGCCCAGAAGAGCACAAGATTCTTACTAACTGAAGAAAAGAGAAACTGAAATTAAGAGATATTGAGACAACTGATATCAGCAGAGTATCAGATAAAGAGCTTCAGAAATACACGTTAGTGTTTCCTGAGTCTTTGGTATAGGTCTAAGAATATACTCTTTGAAATCATAGCTACTGGGAAAATTTAAGCTGAACAACTTGAGCTGTTGGGGGTGCCTCTCTCTCTCAGAAGAACTAGATGAATGAACTTATAAAAAATTAAAGATAAACATAAAAATCGGTCAACAGAAAGATTTAGAAATGACAAAGGTGATGAAATTAGACTTTAAAGCAGCTATTATAAATATGGTCGAGAATTTAAAGGAACATAAATATAACTTGAGAAATGGAAACCATAAAAAGAACCGAATGAAACTTCTAGAGCATAAAGATACAACATCTGAAATGAAAAGTTGGTGTATGGGCTTAACAGTATATTAGACACTGCTGAATAAAAGATCAGTGAAAAAAAGAAATAGCACAAACAATTGTCTATATTAAATCACAGAGAGAAGAAAAGTTGAAAATAAAATGAACAGAGTCTTGGTGACCAATGAATCAATACAAAGTGATTTAACATCATATAATCAGAGCCCCAAAAAGAGAGGGGAGAGGATAAAAAATATTTGACTTACAGTTGTGCCTTGATATCCATGAGGAGTTGGTTCCAGAACCCCGCTTGGATTGCAGAATATAAGGATGCTCAAGTCCCTTATATATAGTGACATGGTATTTTTACATAACCTATATAATCCTCCCACATACTTGAAATAATTTCTAGGTTATTTATAATACCAAATACAATGTAAAT